CTTACGTTATAGAGTAGAGTTTCGAGACTACCGGTAAATCAGTAATATGAGATGTATCACCCTCATGGATGAGAACAAATTTTGGGAAAGCAATGCTCTGTGAAATTAAATGGAAACGTCAGCTCAACTCATATCATTGAGAAAATTCTACTACCAGTCCTTCATCACCTTAGACGAAATAGGGTGAATACATCTCATATCAAAGTAATTAGGACAGCAAAAGTAACATCTATTCTCGGCCATCAAGGTTTGGTGACCACTATCTCCCCCTTTGTACAAAAATGTTATAAATATCACTCCGAATCTCTTCACCAAACACTCACTCGAAATGGAAGTAAGCTTAACATTTATGAAACAAGAGTCCTCGAAACCCAACTTTTGTTCGCATTTGTGAAATTTAACGAAACCGTACAGACTGGTCACCCGGCCGTGGGGGAATCCAGCTCCCAGTCTTTCATTGGCCTAAACCAAATGGGTTGAGTAGTGCTCTTATGAGTGAAGTGCGCCGAGAGTGGAACAGATTTTAAGTATGGCGAGTCAGGTACTGGCCAATTAAGGAGCCGAAGCGCAGGTCGTACACAAGAGACCGATTTCTTACCCAATCCGTTGGCATTTTCCCGACCCACGAACGTAAGTGTACCCTGTTGATATGGGCCAGCTCGCCTTATGGACTCATTGCAATCCGGCGTCTGATAAACGAACCACATGACCAATCAAAGGCCGCGAGAAGGGCTCAGCAATGAATGCAATCTAGGCGGTGATCTAAGAACCTCGTCCACTTTTACATTCTTGCTCACTACCAATTTTTGAATCAGCCCAAGCAACCAACTTCTTGTCCATGTTTAACTTCGGACGAGCGGAGTAATTATCTATTCCTTATTCTGGGTGGACTGCAATTCCAACATCGTTCCACAGAACCTCCAACACAACTATCAACCGGTTTATGGCGACACGGCATGGTGGGCTTACTCACCTAAGCACAAAGGATAACCAGTCATAGAGGCGATCCAGTGAGCCTTTGACGACCAAACTCTGGTACAGGAATTATCGATGCTCTCGAAGCATATTTACACCGGGTATGCATTAAATGATGTCAGGCAAGTGTAATCCTCATACCCACTAATTCTAAACTGTCGAACAATAATAACGACTCGGATACTTATCCTGGGAGCACCCGAGCAGACGATCCACGCTCAAGGGACGAGATTCCAACTGCCGGTGGCTCTTTTGCAAGAACCATGATGGCCTCATTCTAAGGTAAAAATCCTCACGCGAACTTATTTTCCCCGCATGGGGCATCTGAAATGATGGCTCTTTGCTTTGACCCTTCGCCCGCAGAAAAGCTCATTATGGTTGGTCGTCATGCTAACAAAATCCCGTTTGCCCTGCCTTCCGGCCTGTCTGAGAAACAAACTCATCCAATGAACCTTCTCCACAGTGGTACTACACAAGACCCTTCTGCCAAGACCCCCGACCTAGAGAAGTGAACTGGTGGGACTGCTCGCTGAGACAGGTAGAGGAACGCATGGCTGAAAAGGCGGCCATCCTGATAACTCAGAAAAAATCAGTAAGGCTTAGTCAGTCGAACACTTCAGCTCCCGTTGCGTCGGCTACTCACAAATCCGGGGTACTTGGGCTCTTCTAACTCACTGATAGTCCCTGATATCATAAATGATCCAAATCTCGCGCAGGAGGGTTGCTCTAATTTGCTGGATTAGATGGGATTCGGCTTTCTCGGCTTGCAATCATGGACTACTCAAGTATTGCTCATCAATCCTGCACAAGTACTGAAATATACGTCTTAATTGAAGGACGAGACTGGAACCAATTAGTCATAAAAAAATCCTATAATAAAAATGGGTCTCGTTTCAAGTATGATAGTAGAACTTTTTCTCACTTAGGCAAGTAGATTCATTTAAAGACAGAAACCCAAATCCAAGTATAAAAGTATCAAAAGACATGTCGGAATAGACACAGGTCTACAATAGCCGAGTCAGAAAGAAACGGAAGGAAATAGCCGAATCCCCTATGAACAAAATAGGATTCGAATTGCATTGGGAAAGGGGGTATTCACAAGTGGATTGACAGTCAAGAAAGATAAGAAATCTGAAGTTCTTAAGGCGTTTATGTAGTGGAGACAGTCTACTTCGGAGCGATCGGGCCACGGCCACGCCTCGCTTCAGTAAAGGCTAGTTCATCTGCCAACGCGTTGGCGTCGTAGGCCAACTCATCTCGAAGGCGAAAAGCGACTAGCTCGAGATCACGTTTTCTTGAGGCTCTGTCCTCTGTACCAGAACGAGTAACTTGCTCCAACCAGCAAAAATCACCCAAAATAAGGAATTGCTTAATCTCAGAGACTAGGCGTGTTAGATTTTCACATGCATGAACCTAAAAAATGCAAAATATTGTTTTATATTTACATAGGCGTAAATTAGTACCAACAGCGTAAGAAAAATCACCTAAGGCACAAAGTCGATTTATGCATAGAGAAGTAAAAATATTCATCTACATAGGACAAGAAATATGTCATTATAAGCCAGTACAATTTAGTGAACTAGAGTAAAAGTTGGGCCTGGAATAATAAGGACCAAACTGAAATACACAGGTGATCCTTA